GCCTGGGAACGCCTTGGTATTCCCCCGGATAAGCTGGAGGAGGTGGCTGGGGAGAGGGAGGTCTGGGCCTCTTTGCTTAGGCTGCTGCCCCTGCGACCCGGCCCCGGACAAAGCGGATGAAGATGGATGGATGGATGGATGGATGGATGGATGGAACTTTTGATATGCATATCAAACACTGTTATGTAGTGAGGAGATAATGTAACTTTTTTCTGTTCAAATGTAATCACTGGCATCATAATTCAGCTAGAAAAAGCAGAAGCCAGAATGCCAATTTGAGTAAACCGTATAACACCCAAGGCTGAGGTTAGCATTGACAGCCTGTGGCAACACAAAAAACACACCCCGTTTGACTGTAGCTGTAGAGAAGGATCATCAAACCATCAAACAACTCATCTGTAGTCCAAGTTATTACTTATACATTAAATGATTGAACACAACTTATTACTTCCAAAAGTACAGCACCGACATGCCATTAGAGTGATCTGTGGCCATTATTGTTCATATATGCGTGCGTCTATATGCATTTGTGTATTCATATGTGCACATGTCTTTCAGCAAACTGAAGAAACTGATTCGATACATTCGGTCAAAGCAAGGAGCTTTTCAGGAAGAAGAGAGACAGAAGAAGTTGACGAGATATGAAACCGACCATTTTCTGGAGCCATTTGGTGGATTAACTCCTGAATATATGGAAATGAGTCAGTACTACACACTAAATATCCTTCACCACTTTGGTTCTTAACTCATTCACTGCCAGCCATTCACTGCAATTGACGGCTATAGACGTCAATGGCAGTGAATGAGTTAAATACTAGATATGAACAAAGCAAAACACAAGTCTGTTTTCTTGTGTGCAAAGATAATTTTCTATAAACACTGATGGCCGCGTGTCATTCAAAAGTCTAAATCACAACTAAAGGATCAGTTGTGAGATTATACTGATTCTTATTGTGGTTTCAAGGTTTTGAGGATTTCCATGTTAATCTATATTCTTATTCAATGCAGTTTTGTTTATGTAGAGATAGTAGACAAAAACATTTAATTGTGTGTCTATAATATGTTTTCAGTACATTTATATTTGCACAGGTAAAGGGATATGTTGGTACTGATTTTTTGCTTTGCTCCTTTGTCCAGTCATCCAGTTTGGTTTTGTTACATTGTTTGTGGCATCCTTCCCGCTGGCTCCACTCTTTGCTCTGCTCAACAACATCATTGAAATACGACTTGATGCCAAGAAATTTGTGACGGAGCTGCGAAGACCAGTGGCAGCAAGAGCTAAAGACATCGGTGGGTTATATTTAAAACATTGTGGCATGTTTAAAAATGCATGTTATTCAGGAAGGATCACAATAACAAGAGAAAATAATATTTGTTTAATTATAAGAAGAGAAATCTTATACCTGAAAACATTGGCTGACACATATTCTCATTGTACAGGAATATGGTACAACATACTGAGAGGGGTAGCAAAGGTTGCTGTCATCATTAATGTAAGTAATGTCTGCTGGTTTAATTATTTTGACATGCTACATGCACGATCGTGTTGGTGTTAAAACTAATGTAAAAAACTTTTTCTAAGTTCATGTCCATAAACAAATTGTATACATAACAAAAATTTAGAAAGAGGAAAAATTAGAAATTGTGACACCTGGAATTTTGCATGTGTTTTTCATTCATGAAAAATGATTTTATCTGCCTAGTTATGAAGTTACAGTATGAGGGCTTAAAAACTATTTTAAAAAATTGACTTAAAAGTCAACCATTTTACCGTATGAGGGCTTGTAACTCAGTTTTCATCGTATGAATGTAAAAATTTGGTTTCAATAGATAAGTGTTAGGTATTATTTTAAAACAATCACTTAGTTCTGGGAGGATCAGATAAGAAATGTTCTCAGATTTGATTAATGTGTATAGTTCATAAAATCAAACTAATATTCACTCACGTGCTGGCTATATGGTGCTTATATCATCTTATCTCTTTTGTAGATTGTGTTTTTTATTCTTTTTGGCCCGTCTTTCTGCATTTCCAGCCCTAGCAAAAGATAAAGCTATGTTTTGCTCGATGCCAAGTGCATACTCAAAAGAAAACATTACTTTTATCTCTTTAAATAAAGAAATAAAGCAGTATGGCTGGTATTTCAGCTACAACATTCCAGTTGGTTGTATACTTAAACCTGTGTGTAGTTACAGTTCACATAGTTCATATTTGTTTCCATTTGCCACACTTCTTTTTTCTCTCTCTAATGTCCGAACCTCTGTCCCTGCTCCAGGCATTCGTTATCTCCTTCACATCAGACTTCATCCCTCGGATGGTTTACCAGTACATGTACAGTCCTGATGGCTCCATGCATGGATTTGTCAACCATACACTGTCTTATTTTAATGTCAGCCACTTCCAGGATGGCAAAGAACCCATGGATCCATCACACTTTGGCTACCCTGTTGTAATATGCAGGTAGGAAATTATTCTCAGGTTACTGTCATAACATTTCAATAAATGTAAAAACTTTTTGAAATAGGTATTTCAAAAAGTTTAGTTAGAAAGAAAAGAAAGTGTACTTTATTGGTCCCCGTGGGGAAAATCGCTCTCTGCATTTAACCCATTCACTCAGTGAAGCAGTGGGCAGCCATTGGGCACCCGGGGAGCAGTGTGTAGGGACAGTACCTTGCTCAGGGGTACCTCAGGGTAGCTGTTCAGGGGAATCGAACCCCCGACCTTCCGATCATGGGGCCACCACTCTACCTACTGAGCTATTGTTATGCTTCTTTAAAAACCTATTTGTGAGTAAAAAGCAAATCAGTGATTTTAGATGATTTTTAAATCATTTGTGAATCAGTGCCTCCAGCAGTCAGGTTATTAATCGAATCATTGTTGGCATTGACTTCTAAATTAAATGCAAATGAGTACAGTGCTTTACAATGAAGGAAGCTATTTTAGTCTTTATTTATTTCAATAAATAAACTCTTAAGCCCAGAGATGTGCCATTCTGTAATCCTTGCACAAGCTTTTCAATCCATTGCAATTACTCCTCTTGTCTGCATGCTGAAGCATCCCCAGACAAGGTACTGAGCCTCAATGCATCCAATGTGAGTGTATGTGAATGTTAGATAAGGCACTTAGCCTTAGAGAAAATCATCATCAAATAAATGTGTGTGTATGAGGCTTTTAGTAAAATGCACTTTAATTGCTAAACTAGACTGGAAAAGTGCTATATAACAAGTCCATTTACCATATTACTAAACCGAAAAAGAATCTGGTGACAAAGCTGTCGGCACAGAAAGAGGAAAGAAAAGCAAGGAAACACTAAGGACTGACGCTTAACAGAGACCAAGGATACAAAGCTGGCACTGGAAGTGTAAACCATAGAAACATGCAACCAAAACTATATACAAAGACAGCAAGCGGAATTCAAATACCAAAATGTTAAGTTTGAGATAAGTTTGTGTGTCCAGCAGAAGTTACCATGGTGATTTAGCAAGTTAAAAAAAGACACTTTCATGACACAGAAAAGCAATAAGTATATAAGAAATAATATAGGTGGTATAGAACTGTGCTGACAATGCTAACGCTAATGGACTTGGAAAAAAAATGTTGGATTATTCTTTCTTTCTCTGGCTAGCTTAATTGCTATGTACAGACAGCCATACAAAAAGGGTGGCACCTATGGCAGGAGACACACCGATAGAGGGTCAAAATCACAGCAGGCCTTGCTGGAACATAACACTGTCAGGGAGTTTCTGGTTTGTTAAACACATGTTGAGGGGAACATCTGGGAGATTGCACTACTTCTAAATTATCCCTATCTAATCATTTAGATTATATGTACTGGCCTGGTTTTGCCAGAAATTTCTTCTCAAAATTGAGTGTTAAATTGTGACCAAATGTGATACCTGTTTTTTGTCACTAAGGTATAAAGACTACAGAGAACCACCTTGGTCAAACACACCATATGAGCTATCCAAGGAATTCTGGGCAGTGCTGGCTGTCCGTCTGGCTTTTGTTATTGTTTTCCAGGTAGGTAATACATAAAGCAATTACTAGTAATGTTCTTATGAATTTATTTTATTGAATTATCACATACCTTTTAAAGAGAGGTGCTGAACTATGATTCTGACGTAGGGTCTGGTCAGAACAACCTACATTTCATTATAACAGCCAACATAAATCACCACAGTTGAGTAGAACAACCAGAAATTCAGAAACTGATCACATAGTCCATGGACAGGAACTTACTTGTAGCTGAAAAGTAAGGTCACGTCTACTCAAACTGGCAGTTCAAGGAGACAGGGAAAACATACAGGAACCTGATTGTTGTGAGGTGACTGATACCTCCTGTACCACTGTGCTGCCCTCCTATAAATCCCTAATGATAAACCTCTGCTGAAGGTCTTCTGCAGTTTTCCATTTTCCAAAAATTGATACTTTTTTTTGTCCTTGAGTTGAAATAAAAGCCCACTTTCTGGTGGAGTCTGTAACTGCTCTCCTGCAGCGTCTGGCACAAATGTTCTTATTTAATCGCTTGGTATGCAGATACATGGACATGTTACAACAGTGGAGGTCTGCAGCCGCTCTCTACTTGTTGCACAGTTGAATATCAAACACTAGATAGACAAAAGTACTAAGACACCAACACATTACACCCACAGGAGTTGCTCAGCCATGGAAACTTACTGAATCTCCTGGTGCACAGTTTTGTCTTTGTGTTAGTGCCAGAGGAGCTTTGGAACGCTCCAGTTAATATGTTTGTCCATATAGTGTATAAGGAATTTTAGTGTGGTTAGTCAAGGCCAAAACCATTTAAACCTTTTGTCCTATCTCACTCTGCTCTCTTTTCTTTTCCTCACCCTCACGGGTTTTGAAAGATGGCTGCTGCTCCCTGAGCCTGGTTCTGCCAGAGGTTTCTTCCTGTTAAAAGATAGTTTTTCCTTCCTGGGAGTTGTCTGATTGCTGGGGTTTTCTCTTTATTATAGTAGGATTCTTATCTTACACTATAAAGTGCCTTGGTGCTGTTGGCACAATATAAATAAAATTGAACTGAATTGATTTAAAATGAACTATATATGCCAAACGGTTGAAATTTTTAGAAAAACATAAAAGCATGTGACCTACGGGATGTTGGGGATTCAGACTGTGGAAGTTCTGAGATTATTTTTTTGTTTTTACCAGAAGAAAAATTGCTGAGTTTCTTTCATTTATTTCTGACAGAACGTTGTGATGCTCATGAATGACATTGTTGACTGGCTAATCCCAGACATCCCAAAAGATATCAGCCTGCAGATCCACAAGGAGAAGATTTTATTGGTAGAGCTGTTCATGAAAGAAGAGCAGGGCAAGAGCTATATCATTGACAGCAGCACTTCAACAGATGGAAAGGAAAACTGCAGCAAACACAACAACAACAGCAAAGTGGCGCCCCCACGCTCCCGACGGCATACCAGCAGCACCAAAAGCTTCTAACAGCCATGCTAGCAGCTATGGCTAGTAGCTATTAGTTTAATTGTTGTTAGCATGTCGAAGCTTGCTATTAGTTCTCTCTCAGGACAGACTAAATTGTATGTAAATTGTATGTTTTCTTAATATTCTTAACATTCCAATGACTGGGACAGCAGTTGGCCAAAGAGATGTGAGAAAATTAAATCTGTGGCCAAATATGTTGCATGTTTTTGTTGAGCTGTGAAACTCTGTCACTCCATGTGTGCACCCTCAAATGTATTTATGTGCTTAAGAATGTCTGATTGTGTACTCAAATTAATGACTTTGTAAATCAAAATGTAAAAGTGTATTCATTCTTACATGCATTACAGCTAAAAATTTTTATATAATCCTTTAAATACTCACAAATGTTAGAATACGCACAAAAATGATGACAAATTGTGTGCATAATTTTTTTTACCAGCATACACATTAGAATCAGAAAATGTGAATTCAAAGAAATCAATATAGAAACTTCATTAAACTGTGACTAATCAAAATTTACAACCTGCTGTTAGAAAATAAACATTTTTAACTCGCTGTATGGAACAAAATTTAAATCAGAATTTTTTTTTTATTAAATTCTCCTTGAATAACACAGGTCTGCAACCAAAAAACTGAATAGGATTTGTTTGACTGAAACTGGGAAAAATATTTTTAAAATTCCAAAAACCTGGTATCCTATACTTGAGTCAAAAAACCATATCCAGTAACGTTTTCTAAAAGCAAGAGAATAGAAAATGTGAGGAATTGAGAAGGGGGCGGATACTGGGAGTTTGCGCTGTGAGGAGCTCAGATGGTCCATGTCCCATTCTTCAAGACATCCCAACAGATCTATTTTGTTCAGTGGTAAGGAATCTCAGAAAAATTATGCAAAATTAGTTAATTGTAATAAAATATTGATTTTTTTTTCATTGCTGTTGTGATTTCTTTTTAATGTAAACTCCTAATGATTTGCAAAAACACTGTATGTGATGGAGGGAAATTGAGATCATTTTTAGATTCAGCACCCTAAAATATCATTTTTATTTTCTTTTGCAGACCTGTGTAATCAGGCCTCATCTTAAAGAAGACCTCACTCCAATGCAGTTCACTCTCAGACTGCCTTGTTTAGGATATGTAAACCTTTAAAGCCCAAATCATGATTTTTTTTTTTTTTTTTTTTTTGGAAAATTGAGTTTTTGAGGATCCTTGTGACAATTTCTTAAGAAATGAAATTTGAATTTGCATATATTCGTTTTCATTTTTAACTTCTTTGTTACCTCCAGTTTTGGAGGTCCTACACTGATTATGTAGAAGTCTCAAATCGTATGCATCATATATGATAAATTTGCCTTTAAAGGGTTGAAAGTTGAATGTATACACCACTCTGCATTTAATCAGCATGCAATATCTGAAATTCTATTTCAGCTAACAGTTGATTATGGCTCAGTAAACCTCTTTGATATTTGAAACTCAGAGCAAACAGGTTGCTTCAAAACTGTTTAAAAGAGGTAACGCTATACATTCCCTTCACCTACACTGGTCTTTGTTGCATTTTAATGGACAACTCCTCTATATAGCAACTTTTACTTAAGTAAAACTATTAACCTGATTTTTTTTCTTCCTTTTAAAATCAAGTCTTTGGTAAAATGAACTGGTACTTACATAACACCTTTGTACTCAGTTTTAGCACTTTGTACGTCTCATTCATCTATAAGCACAGGAGGATTTGGAAATGAGCCATTGAAGTTCCAATTAGTGGGCAACCTACTCTGCCACCTGAGGCAATCACTTTCTACAGTCAACAGGTGTTGGGAACTTTCCCAGAATCCACATTTCTACCAAAGTCTCTAGCAATACTTGTGTCTTTAGTGCTCAGGACCTAGAGAGAAGGCAGATGGGTTGAGAAGTGTATTTTGAAAACATTCAGTTTCTTTGCATTATTAATCTAGAAGGAGCCATCAGAAGATAGGTACACTGGGGTCATGAAGGGATGGACATGGTTCGCCATAATACTCAAGTGGGCTGTGGTGTTAAAGATCATTTAAGGCGCTCAAAGTGTAGCACAGAAATACCCCCACATCATTACACCAGCAGCAGCCTGAACTGTTGATTTGAGATATCAGGTGAGATCAGTTTGTCGTGCTGTTTACATTAAATTCTGACACTACCATCTGAATGTTGCAGCAGAAATTCAGACTCAACCCAGGCAACGTTTTTCTGTTTTTCTGTTGTTCAGCTTGCAACTAAAAGCCTGATTTTTTTTCCTGTCTTTTGCTGATAGAAGCAGCAGTTGTTTTGCTGCTGTAGCTCATCAACATCAAGGTTTGACATGCTCTTCTGCATACCTTGGTTGCAATTTGGTTGAGTAGTTATTTGAATAACTGTTGCTTTTCTATCAGCTCAAAGCAGTTTGGCTATTCTCCTCTGACCTCTTCTTTAACCAAAGAACTGCTGCTCACTGAATATTTTATGGTACTTTTTTGTACTATAAATTTCTTTGGGAAAATCCCAGCAGACTAATAGTTTCTGAAATACTCAGACTACCCTGTCTGGCAGAACCATCCATGTCTTGGCCAAAGTCACTTAAATCCCCTTTCTTCTACATTCTGATGCTTGGTTTGAACTTCAGCAGATCGTCTTGACCATGTCTACATGTCTAAATCCACTAAGTTGCTACCATGTGATTGACTGATCAGATATTTGATTTAATGAAAAGTTGAACAAGTGCACCTAGCAAAGTGGGACTTAGTCATAGGTGTAAGCATCACAGCAGTACCTGAGGATTGAATACGGAGAAGAATAACTTTTTTTTTTTTGTCTTTTACAGCACATAACCCCTTTTAAAATATGCTGCAGTAGTCTGAAAACTGATGAAAACCATGAATCAACATATGGGTATTACCTGTGGAAAGACTGATGTTGCAGAAGTGAAACAGAGCAAGCAGAGGTTTCATTAGAGGCATAGCTAAGTATTTTGCAGTTTGGTACAATTTGCACACTGTGGGTGCACCGTCACTCCCACCCCGTGCTGTCAGGGTTGGGAGTGATGGGGATGACAGCTCAGTGGCATCGTCTTGTCACTGAATCCTTCCACTGGGTCAAGAGGACATGCCAGAACAGAGCTGGCCTTCTTGATCAGCCTGTTCAGTTTCTCCCTTACCCAGTGGAGATACTGCTGCCCCAGCAGAAAACACCATAAAAGATTACTGATGCTCACTGATGAGTCTGGCTGGAGTCCAGTTGTTCCAGTTGTTGGAGTCCTGAGGCCCCAGTCTCCAAGCTGTCGCTGATGACTACCAAGGTAAAATTTACGGGGTCTGGCAGTACGTTATTTGCTCGGGGCAACCCAGTCACAACTTGGGCATGTACATGTGGTGACCCACAGTTGGGAGCATTTAAAAACAGTTTTTTCATCCAAATCCCAAAAGGTTGATTCTGTTAATCTGGATGTAACATTTTCAGTGGATGAAATGTTTCATCACTCACCCAAGTGACTTCCTCAGTCTCAACTGACTGCAGGTTCCCCCAACCTTATAAACATTACATTGCAATAGTAAAATGCACTGTTTATACAATTAAAGAAATTGTTACAACAGTAGGAGTGGGAAAATCTGAATTTTGGTACATGCTGAGAAAGAAAGAAAGCACTGGTGAATTCAGTAATGCAAAAAGACTTGGACGTCCACGGAACACAGTTGTGGTGGATCAAGCCATAAAATCCCTAAACCCTAAAAGCCATAAAAATGAACAACACTTTCTGGGAGGTAAGCATATCAACATCCATATCTACCATAAAGAGAAGATTGCATTAAAGTAAATACAGAGGATTCACTGCAAAGGGGAAGCCACTCATATGCCTCAAGAATAGAAAGGCTAGATTGGACTTTGCTAGAAACATCTAATAAAGCCAGCACAGTACTGGAAAAACATTCTTTGTACAGATGAAACCAAGATCAACCTCGACCAGAATGATGGCAAGAAAAAAGTATGGAGAAGGTGTGGAACAGCTCACGATCCAAATCACATCATCTGTAAAACAGTGTGATGGTTTGGGGTGTATGGCTGCCAGTGGCACTGGGACACTAGTGTTTATTGATGATGTGACACAGGACAGAAGCAGCCGAATGAAGTCTGAGGTGTTCAGACATACTGTCTGCTCAAATCCAGCTACGTGCAGATGAACTGATGGGAGTCGTTTCAGGACATTATGTCACCGGGTTGGTTGGTTGCGGCTAATAAACTTACTGTTAGGTATTTTAGTACCATGGGAGCATTTACTGGATATTGTTTTATAGTGACATTATACAGGAAAACTCTGTCATTCAATAAGGCCCCTTTGTTTTAGTTATTTTTCTCTTTGACCCAAGAATTGATGTGTGAGAATCACAGGCTGGTACAAGGTTGAAATACCACAGAGATCACTCCCTCAGCTACATTAGTTTCTAAATCTCTTAGGAGACGCCTGTTGAAGGCCAGATGGTTTGTTTCAGAATTCACTAATGTAAGAACTCTTTATTTTGTGCCTTGAAAATATGTCGCTGAGATAATCATAATTGTAGCTGAACTGATACACTACACAAAGGATGCTTCTTCACCCAAGGGCAGGAAGACGCTCCCTTATCTTGGTCTGTACTGGTTTAAACTGATAATCTGCTGTCTCATGAATTTTTCCCTCTATATAAACTGTTGTACTTGAGAATAAAGTTGAGTCGATTTGGGAGGACAATCTGAAGCAGTCTCTGTTTTCTTGTTCTCCCAAGCTGCTCCCGAGCTCGTACTAACACGCTGAATGGCATGCTTGAATGTTACTTGAGAATATATTTGACTGTGTTACAGATTAAGGTACAATCTCTGCTGATAGGTGAAGGTACAATCTCTGCTGATAGACGTCCACGCCTCGGAGGAAGCCGATCCACGGATTAGGCCCTGGAAGCCGTTTCCTTCACTTACATTAGTTAACATCACTTTAAGGGGATTACATTTGTGCTGCCCCACTTGCTGCAACAATGAGTTTTATGTTAAGACACTGAGGATATACTTCCACCTTCACTGTCTGTCTCTTTGGCAGTAATTGACTCGTCCTATTTGGCTAGCAGCACTGAAACTCCAGTTGTTAGCTGTAATGTCCGGCTTTGTAAAGCACTTTATAAATGAGGACAGTGTGGAGGAGAGCCCGTTTGAGTCACCAGACCGACAAGCTGCAGTCCGACACTCCAGCTTTGCCTCGCCAGGCCGGGTGTACTGTGCGCCCTTGCTGAAAACACTTTGAAATTTATTAATAAACTTCTGACGACAGATTCAGATTTGACTTCAAAACTGCTTGTCCTCTCTTTAAAGCTTGTCCCTTCAGCAATTTCATCATAAATGCTATTTTTGAACAGTCTGAAGAAAATATCTGGCTCTGCTGGCGAAACACTAGAGAGCATTAGGTAAGAAAGCCACAACTTTTTTCTCCCAGCTTACTCCAGAATTCCTCTTTCTCTTCGGACATCCAACCTTTGGGCATATGCACTGACAAGAACATAATAATAATGTTACCTTGTAATCTTGTAATAAATATTACAAATTAAACATTAGTCTTCTTAAGTCTTTGGACTGAGATGATCCCTTTTTCATTAGTGTACATCTTTCACTTTAGATTCTGTCAAAACTGTGTTTTCTAAGACTGGATGAGGCCATTTTTTCTTTTTTTGTGTTTGGCCATTGGGTAACTTCATCTTTCTCCAGCAGTGGTCAACCTCACACTTTCCACATATTCATAGTCTTGACACTATTACAGTCTTTTTAATCATTTTTAATGTACATCATTTGGATACTTTAAATCCTATCGCTAACTATGCACTCTGAAAAGAAAAAGCTGTAAACTGGCTTATAAAAATCT